TCTCCCTTTTCTGAAACAATAGTATAACATCACAACATAGAAAAACACACTATAAAATATCAATTGGAAGGCTTAACTCAATCAAAAAACGTAAATTAACACACAATAGTTTACTATCCATCGCGTGTACTGATAATGTATATAATAGAACTCTTACTATCAAAGTAATGTTCAAATTACTCGTAATAATCGTTGGTTCTTAGGAGGTCACGACTAAATGTGAAATAAAAACATTTATCCTGAGAAAATATTGCTTGGTTCTGTCCTATATTCTTTTAAATACAACAGTTGGTTCTGATAAGGTATAATTGAATTCTAAATACTATAAATATTTAAATTACAATGTGTAAAAAGTAAACAATTATATGTTTTGATTAAAGAGGTCCAAAATTTGGGTCTGACACCTTACCCGGCCTTAACCTTAAAGCTAATAAAAAATTAGGTGCAAACGAAAGCTGGGGACCAGAGGTCTGCTTGAGCAAAAAATCAGGGTGTTGTTCAGCTTAGTTTTTTTTTTTTTAAGCTTTAAGGTAAAGGTGGGGTAGGGTGTCATACCCCTACTTTGGACCTCTTTAAAAAAAACAACACCCTGGAGTTTTACTCAAGTAGACCTCAGATCCCCAGCTTTATTTTGCACCTAGTACAGACAAAAGTTTTGTCGTAGGGAATTTTTTATTCGCTTTAAGGTACAGGTGGGGTAGAGTGTCAGACCCCTAACTATGGACCTCTTTTAAAAAAAACTAAGCTGAACAGCACCCTGGATTTTTGCTCAAGTGGACCACAGGTCCCAATATTTCGTTTGCACCTATTGCGGCGGACAAAGGTAATGCCGTAGGGAATGTTTTATTAGCTTTAAGGTAAAGGTTGGGTATGGTGTCAGACCCCAAATTTGGACCTCTTTAAAAAAAAACTACGCTGAACAACACCCAGGATTTTTGGTTCAAGTAGACCTCAGGTTCCCAGCTTTTGTTTGCACCTAGTGCGGACAAAAGTATTGCCGTAGGGAATTTTTTATTAGCTTTAAGGTTAAGGTGGGATAGGGTGTCAGACCCCAATTTTGGACCTCTTTAAAATAAAAACTAAGCTGAACGACACACAGGATTTTTTCTCAAGTAGACCTCAGGTCCCCAGCTTTCGTTTGCACCTAGTGCGGACAAAAATAATGTCATAGGGATTTTTTTAATTAGCTTTAAGGTAAAGGTGGGGTAGGGTGTCAGACCCCAACTTTGGACCTCTTTAAAAAATACTGAGCTGAACAATATCCTGATTTTTTTCTCAAGTAGACCTCAGGTCCCCAGATTTCGTTTGCACCTAGTGCGGACAAAAATAATGCCATAGGGATTTTTTTTAATTAGTTTTAAGGTAAAGGTGGGGTAGGGTGTCAGACCCCTAACTATGGACCTCTTTAAAAAATACTGAACTGAACAATATCCTGATTTTTTTCTCAAGTAGACCTCAGGTCCCCAGATTTCGTTTGCACCTAGTGCGGACAAAAATAATGCCATAGGGATTTTTTTTAATTAGCTTTAAGGTAAAGGTGGGGTAGGGTGTCAGACCCCTAACTATGGACCTCTTTAAAAAATACTGAGCTGAACAATATCCTGATTTTTTTCTCAAGTAGACCTCAGGTTCCCAGCTTTCGTTTGCACCTAGTGCGGACAAAAGTATTGCCGTAGGGAATTTTTATTAGCTTTAAGGTAAAGGTGGGGTACGGTGTCAGACCCCAACTTTGAACCTCTTTAAAAAAAACTACGCTGAACAGCACCCTGGATTTTTGTTCAAGTTGACCTCAGGTTCCCAGCTTTCGTTTGCACCTAGTGCGGACAAAAGTTATGCCGTAGGGTTTTTTTTTTAGCTTTAAGATTAAGGTGGGGTAGGGTGTCAGACACCTACTTTAGACCTCTTTCAAAAAAAAAACAAAACTATGCTGTACAACACCCTGGAATTTTGCTCAAGTAGACCTCAGGTCCCCAGCTTTCGTCTGCACCTAGTGCGGACAAAAGTATTGCCGTAGGCAATTTTTATTAGCTTTAAGGTAAAGGTAGGGTACGGTGTCAGACCCCAACTTTGGACCTCTTTAAAAAAAACTACGCTAAACAGCACCCTGGATTTTTGTTCAAGTTGACCTCAGGTTCCCAGCTTTCGTTTGCACCTAGTGCGGACAAAAGTTATGCCGTAGGGTTTTTTTTTTAGCTTTAAGATTAAGGTGGGGAAGGGTGTCAGACCCCTACTTTGGACCTCTTTCAAAAATAATTAGCTGAACAACACCCTGGATTTTTGCTCAAGTAGACCTCAGGTCCCCAGCTTTCGTTTGCACCTAGTGCGGACAAAAGTCTTGCCGTAGGAAATTTTTGATTGGCTTTAAGGTAAAGGTGGGGTAGGGTGTCAGACCCCTTCTTTGGACCTCTTTAAAAAATAATAAGCTGAACAACACCCTGGAGTTTTGCTCAAGTAGACCTCAAGTCCCCAGCTTTCGTTTGCACCTAGTGCGGACAAAAGTATTGCCGTATGGAATTTTCTTAGCTCTCAAATTTAGGATGGGGTAGGGGGTCATATCAAAACTTTGGATCTATTCAAACAAATCTAAAAGATACTTTACCTCGGATCTTTTTATCAAGCATTCCTTTTTTTCCCATATTACGTTTGTACCTGGTATGGAACAAAGGACTTTTATGTCAGTAACCACTATTTTGTCATCTTCGGTTGTAAGTGATCACTTAAATTTAGTAGCCATATGTTTCAATTGAACAATCACCCTGTCGAGGTATTCCCTGGTTTCTTCGCCTATCGATAACATGCTTTCAACAAGCTCATAAATCTTCTTTTCTTGTTTGCGACCAATTCGTGAAAACTCTTTGAAACCAGCCGTACGTCATGGGTTCATCTATTGACTTTGCTCAGGTAGATTTTGGATTGAGTGGTTCTGTATATTTAGATCTGTTTTCATTTAACCATCGTTGGTTGACACACATTCAGACTTGTCCACTTTTATCGTTGTTTTCCGTTTGTAAGTTCCCTTAAACTATGTTGATGTTTGGTCGTATTTTTCTCAAAGTTTTTTTATCCCACAGTTTGGGGATACCCGGGTCTCGGATAAAGGATACGATGATCATTCACGTCAAAGTTCACAAAAAGGGTAACAATGCTTGCTCCTCTTTAACCAAAACAAATTTGTCTACAAGCTTTCTTGTTTATAATGTTAATCAAAAACGTCAATTTATCAAAAGATGATGACATTTTTAAAATATACAAAAAAAAGAAGACATGTTTACACAGAAAGTGTCTGGAGAAAGTTCCATTGACCTGGAATTATTTAAAGTAAAACACGATTCGGAGAAATGGTAGGAACATAACCATAAGAGAGATAGTGGATAAGCGATTGTAAGAGTACATTGTGAATCATCCGGATGATTTCCAATTAAGGGCTTGCTACATCAAAGGAGTTAAAATAGAAACGACTACCAAGCTGACGTGAATACGCGAATATTTAGCATATCCATGTACACATTCATATAGTGTGTAAAAACTTTGCACAGCCATATAATCTAGGAGTTTCAAACTTGTATAAGTTTGTTGAATGACAAATGTAAATAACACTTTATAAACGTTGATGATTTATTAATTTTGTGCTTTCTTAGGGTTAGATAAAAGTCAAATACCAATCCGCTATTGCGTGATGCTGAATTAATTGATATAGCTAATGAATATATTTTATAGGAGAAACACGACGGGTGTCACATGTGGATCTGTGGACACAGGATCTGCCTACTCTTCCGAAGTACATGAGATCGCCCCCCCCCCCCCCCGGGTTTCGATGGGTTCGTTTTGCTCAGTCTTTGATTTTCTATGTTGTGTTTTGTGTACTGGTGTTTGTGTTTTTGTCATGGTTTGTCTTTTGCCGTGTCATAGTCATTTTTTGTTTTCGACTTGTGAGGTAACATATCACTTTGGTATCTTTTGCTTCTCTTTTAATCACTTCCAAAGTGATCAGACACTAACCTAGCAAAGAGAATACTTCAACAAAACGATGACTTCAAATGAAAATACGAAATAATGGAACATTCGTTGCTCTCATATGGTTTTTTAAATCTTCTTAGGCCCCATGATTTGGCATCTTAACATTCGCAGTTATCGTGTTATTACCTTGTGATGTTGTTACCCTTGGATGTGTTTTAGTTGATTTTAGTCTCTGATGCATGATGTTTATTATTAATTGTTTTTGGCTTTTAACACTAGCTTTCAGTAACTGCGAGTACTCTCAAATCGTCCGTTCGTGTTAATTTGACCTGTTGATACAATTTGTAATGTATTTTTGTTATTTAATGTTTACTTATTCAGTGTTATATCTAGTCTCACTATTTCTAATATATACCACCTTTGATAAATGTTTAGTATGACGATAAATTTTCACTTTTGTTCTTGTACTAGGAACAACAAAATTATTTATTTTTTTAAAAGTATTTCCGTTCTCCATGTCTACCTTACAACAAAATTATTTTTATTTACCTGTGAACGTTATTTTATTTGGCGGCATTTTGTTCAAGGTTATGGTTGTCTTTCTAATATTGTTTTACATCTAACATCCTTTTTTTATTAATTTTGTATTTCCATTGTGTCATAGATCAAATTTATTCGTTCAGTGTATGTTCACTTGTTTTTGTTAATATGTCTTTTGATTGAGTTAAGCCATTTCAATTGATATTTTATAGTGTGTCTTTCTATTTTGTGATGTTACACTATTGTTTCAGGTAGGGTAAAGGTTGGGGCCTATTAAAACGTTTAAACCCGCTGCATTTGTTTGCACCTGTCCTAAGTCAGGAGCCTGTTGTTCAGTGGTTGTCGTTTGTTGATGCCGTTTATATGTGTTTCTCGTTTCTCGTTTTTTATATAGACAATTTTGATTTATCTGTTTTATAAAAAAATCTGTTATTTTAAATGAGACATACATGTATAAGAAATTGAAAATATGTGAGTCCATATAGTTCAACTATTTGTTTCAGGAACTAATGGCAGCAACCCTGTCGTTTTGCTTCAACATGGACTGTTGTCATGTTCTGCGTGCTGGGTGGAAAATCTTGCCAGTCAGAGCCTCGGTTTTATGTTGGCTGACAGAGGCATCGATGTCTGGATGGGAAACAGTAGAGGAAACACATACTCAAAACGACATAAAACATTAAAACCTACAGATGAAAAATTCTGGAACTTTACGTAAGATAAAACTCTTACAGTATATCAACTGTGTATTTTTTCCCGAAGTAATGTGAAATCAGTCCTGTCTTTTTAGTAAATATCAATTACATAAGTCACGTAGCCATCTAGCAATTGGTAATTTTAGTAATAATGATTTGTGCATATTGTTCGTGTTCCTCAGTCTTCAATATTTGGCTTAAACTGTTTTTGATGAAAGTTTATCCAGAAAAGCGCTAAGGACTCATATAATTTATACAGTGTTATTTCCTTCGTTTGGTATCTTCCGCCTCTTTTTTTAAAATCAATTAAAGTTGCAATGTCAAAAAAATCAGTTTTCTGCGCCTACATACATTGTCTCTCTGAAGTAATCATCTGCATGTTAAATGCTTATCCGTATCATACGTTAAAGAACAGAACAATTTATTAATATCAATAGCCAAAATGTTAGAATGATGATTTTTATAATTTGTGTCCCCATCTCCTTCTCTGACTATCGCCAAAATTTGAATTAAGTCTAATTTTCGACGTTTAAATCTAGCAAATTTTAATTATAAAAAGTTGAAATTTCGAGATTTAAAAAGTCAAATTTCAAGATTTACAATGTCAAATTTTAGATTTAAAATGTCAAATTTTAAGATATAAAATGTCAAATTCTAAGATTAAAAATGTCAAATTTTAAGATTTAAAATGTCAAATTTTAAGTTTCAAAATGTCGAAATTTATAGTTTAAAATTTCGAGTTTGAAAAAATGAAATTTTTTTAGCTTTTAAAGCAGAAATTTCGAAATTTGAAAGTCAAGACTTCGAAGTCATGACTTTTAAGATGTTGAAAATGAAATATCGAGTAAAGTCGAATTTATAGATTTTAAAATATCATCGTGAAAAGGTTACTTTCTAATTTTAATTTCGTAAAGTCCTTAAATCTCTTCTGTTATATTAATGAAAGTATCTCCAACAAAACTTGAACGCTTGAAGCCGAAAATCTGGTCATCTAACAATGTGTTAGTATAAACACGCTGGGGTCTCAAACCAAAATGTACCTCACGATGCCACAAACCTCTAATGAAGTCAATACTGCTAGAAAGAGTTGGATTCCATTTGAATCTGATAATTTTGTAGATGGGACGAAATGGCAAAATACGATCTTCCTGCCACAGTAGACTACATAGTGAATACAACCAATAGCAGTCAGATATATTATGCAGGTCATTCTCAAGGCACAATGATTATATTCGCTGAATTAGGACGAAATCCAACACTAGCTTCTAAAATAAAACATTTCTTTGCTCTTGCACCTGTGGCTACTCTTGGGACCTTTTAAGGCAGTGGCTCCGTTGGCAAAAGACCTTGATGTAAGTTTCTTGTCCAGTCGAAAGTTAATTTGCTATGATACAAAATGCAAAAAAGGTGTGTGTTGTGTCTCTAAATATTTTATGTTTGCATGTCATAAATATAAAGTAAAATTTTTTTATTATAAATAATTGTTATTATTAGCATGAAAAAGAGTTATGACAAATTTCCCCTGTTCTTGTTTTACTCAGAGCATTATAATTAGATGAAACCATGCAAGGGTTGACTAGAGTATAGAGATGAAGTCATTCCTGGACCTCTCCCTTTCTGGTAGTAAAACCCTTGCTTAAAAAGGCGTCCGTTTTTGTGCTTGATGATAAGTACGCGCCCATGTCCAGTCATAATAAAGACGTTTAGTCCGACGCCTCATGTAGAGAGAGTATCATCGTTTAACAAAATGTAATTATTCATATCTGAAAGACAATACATGACTTTATACCCGACATATATGTTTGTTTAGTTTCTGAGTGATCTTGTAAATTTATTTGAGAAAAAAAAATGAAAATTTGTCCTAATCAATCACGATTGCAGTATTGAGCCATCTTAAGAGTTTAGTGAATGGGAAAGTGTTCATAAAATACTCTGTTATGTTGTTTAAAGCCCTTAAGTATTTGATAATGTGAATTTTAGTAAAGATTAGAATACTTTTAAAAATGTCCCTGCTGTAATATAAACTCAGGGTAATTAGACATACTTCTTCCAAAAATAAAAACAGGTACATGCTAAACACTATGTATATATTTTTCTTACCACATAACGAAATTTTGCAATTACTTACCATTTTAGAATATGAATAAACCTGTTTATTATTTCATTCTGCAAAAAAAAAAAAAAAATTACAAAAATACCGAACTGCATGATAATTTCAAAACGGGGGAAATCCATAAAACCTGACAAAATCATACACACGATTGTATCAACCAACAGAACGAATGGAAAACAACTGTCAGATTCCTGACTTGGTACCGGCATAAGGGCTAATTGCTTGCCTCTTGTTTTGGTTTCAGGCTTGATGATTATCTCTCTATTGTTAACCGTTTTTTACAAATTTATCGAAATTGCTTTATAGTAGCACCAACACGAAAACAGTTGCAATGTTATACAATGCTAACCATGTATGGCAAGTTGTGGGTTTCATTTTTATTCTTTTTTTTGGTAAAGGCACTTGACAATAATAACCTTGTAATACACTGTTTCAGATATTATTTAATCTGCTCGGGAAAGGAGAATTGTTACCAACATCTGACTTCATTCGTTTAATTGGACATGATTTCTGTGGAAACAACCTCGGAAGTATTGTTTGTGAAAATTTTCTTTTCTTTCTTGCTGGCTATGACTCAAAACAGATGAATCGGGTGAGTCAAGATAGAAAATAACCATGGAAGCTGTCACCGACTTAAAAGATGTAAATAGAAATAAATGGAAGACATAATTAGTTACTAAATAACATGTTTTATTCAAAACAATTCTGATATATTGCATTTTTCATATCATAACATTCTGATATTTGGATTTAGAAGTAACACAATAAAAAAAAAACAATGAAGCATTAACTGGAACAAAGAATTCAGAACATCAAACCGACATATACTCACGATATAAATTTTCCATAATTTCAATATAAATATACAGTATTTAATGTCTAATATCTAGCAATTCACTTTTTTGTCAGACAAGGATACCAGTCTATGTCGAAGAACATCCAGCAGGAACATCGGTTAAAAATCTTCTTCACTATGGCCAGGTAAACTTTCTTCATTATGCTCACGTTAACCCTCTTAACTATGCTCAGATTAACCTTTGTCACTATGCTCAGGTAAAAAAAAATCACTATGCACAGGTAAACATTTTCCACTAAACTTAGGTAAACCTTCTTTACTTTGCTCAGATCAATGTTCGTCACTACGCTCAGGTTAATCTTCTTCACGATGCACAGGTAAATCTTTATCACAATACTTAAATAACCTTCTTCACTATGATCAGGTACTGCTTCTTCAGTCAACCCTTTTCACTATTAGCAGGTAAACCTTCCTCACTATGCTCAAGTAAATCTTATTCACTATGCTTAGGTAAACATTTTTAACTATGCTCATGTAAACCTTCTTCATTATGCTCAGGTTAACCTTCTTCACTTTGTCCAATTAACCTTCTTCACTATTCTCGAGTAACTCTTCTTCATTATGCGCAGGGGGCCTCGGTGGTTTCATTGGTTGTTCCTTGTCTGTCCTATTATATTCATCTATAGTATTTGAAATAAAAATGAGTACGAATTCAGTCATTTTGCCGATTAAGATTATATCAAGGAAACTTTTTAAGGTGTCTATATCAGAGAGAAACTCAACATTCGAACAATAAGCATACAAGACAAAATAAAAGGGCAGTACAAATGTAAAGAAACCATTTTAAAGAAAATAGTGCTCGTACAAAAATAAATAAATGAAAAGGTGAGTAGGTGCTCTGGAAGGGTAATCATATTTTGTAGTTCACCAGTGGCGGATCCAGAACTTTTCATAAGGGGGGGGGGGACGCTGACTTACCTAAGGGGGGGGGGGGGGGGGGGGGGGGCGCTCCAGTCATGCTTCAGTGATTCCCTATATAATCAACCAAATTTTTCCCACAAAAGGGGGAGCCCGGGCCCCCCCCCCCCCCCCCCAGCCCCCCTGGATCCGCCTATGTTCACTTAATTTATTAATCCCAACAGTTTAAAAAATAATATATACGTATATTAACAATACAACAAAGAATGTTTCATCAGAGGGATATTCTAACTTGATAAATGCATTCGAATGTGGAATGGTGGTAGCTTTTCGCGGAACAAAGAAAATACACGTATATGGCAATGAACATAAAATAAAAATAAGAAGATGTGGTATAATTGCCAATAAGATATTCTGTTTAATACAAAAAAAAAGTAAAATCACAAAAATACTGAAATCCGAAGAAAATTCAAAACGGAAAGTTCCTAATCAAATGGCAAAACGAGTCAAAAGCTCAAATACATCAAACGAATGGACAACAACTGTCATATTCCTGACTTCGTACAGGCATTTTCCTATGTAGAAAATGGTGGATTAAACCTATCTTTGCTACTGGTGGTATAAAGCTCTCTTAATAAAATGTATCAAGGATAAGGGGTGTGAGTTGTTATCTAAAAGACAAATAAAACACAAAATCCTTATATTTTATGAATTTCTTCTTAATAGTAAGCAGTATCATCCTCCATTAACTTTTTAATATTCCTAACTATAACATCCGACGAACAATTAAATATCAAAAACTGACGGCCTAATTTATAACAACCCCCCCCCCCAAAAAAGACAGACATGAACCAACGACAACCACTGAACTACAGGCTCCTGACTTGGGACAGGCACATAAAGATAGTGGCGGGTTAAATATTTTTGTGTGCGCTCAGTCCTCCCCAAAACTGGTGTTACAGCACACAAGACCAAACTATAAAAAAATCAATTGAATGATCATTTCATCACGTAAAACTATCATTGACGATAGCATACGAGACGTGGATCCATCCTTTCTGAACAAAGGGTGATCCAAACCATGGAACATCATGAAACTTTCACAAAATAAATAAAATCGAAAAAATTGGGGTTTCAACCACCAGAACACCCTCCCCCGCACACCGGATCCGCTAATGCAGACTGCATCCATTAATTGAAAATAAAACCTTCACACATTAGTGAGACTTTCGAATGTGTTATTGAGGCTTAAATAAAAAAAATTGATAACAATACCAAATAACTGTTATTAAATCATTACAGAACAAGGAAAACAAACTCATGCCAGACATATATATTATGTTGCATTGGATTGCAGTAGTTTTTAATGAACATTTATATGACATAAATCTCATTGAAAGAAAAAACTGTTCATGAATGTTGCAGAATAGATAACAGTAAGCATTTCCTACTTGAGTGTCATAATTATTCATATGCCCAAAACGTAAACACTAGAAACTATTATGTTCCATTAAAATATCAATTTACTTTTTGGCCTATAATGAATTCCTCTTTAATAGACTTTATCTCCGATTTGGAAGAGCATTGAAACACATATCCTAATGTCACGTTTTAACCATTTAAAAAGCAGTCATTTCCTTTTATCTTTTAACAGGGAGATTGATATAAGAGCAACATTGTTCTCAATCTCTTTGTGTATAACTGCAATCATATTTTGTGTTTCATATATTTCAAATAAAATATGTTTTTAAAGCTATGTATCACGAAAATATGATGATACAAAATAATTGTAATGACATTTGCGCTTTAATTTAACCTGCAATCGAAAATATCAGTGCTAAGCCAGTTTTTATATAGAACATTTAATTACAAGTCAAACAAATCAAGCCAATTAAGATATTTCTACTTCCTTTCAATTTTTGTTAACCAAAGTTGGCCAAGCGATTGTACAGGATAGCTCCAAGTGATTGTACAGTAAACTTGCAAGCGATTGTACAGTCAATTAAATATCCGACATTTAGAAAATGAATATATTTGGATTTCTACTGGGACAATGGCTTTTAAACTTTCAGACAGGTAAGACTATATACCAGAAAAGGTACATGTGAAAATTCTGGTAGTAACGATGGGTTTTTCGATGTTTATTTAACATTTTTGATTGCTGCTCCGTGACAGTTTTGATCGACTTACTGGGAGCTCCACCATTCTAAGGAAAACGTTTGGATGCATATGTCATTTTCATTATTTTATTGGTTCATATTTACATATAGAATGTTTTGATTACCAAAACTTGCAGCAGAAACGTTATATAGTAACATTTGAGTTCATCAAACTTTCCATCAAGCAACTTGTTATTGTTTCGAATAACGGAGCCCCGCTTGACAGTCTCCCGAATGACCAAAACATTACAAAACCGCACAGTTCCATTCCCACACTGTGTATTCTAATTAAAGAAATCTGTTGATTTTTATAGAATATATATTTTTATATTGCGGAGATATAACGTTGTACTCTGTTTACACAAGGTTAAAAACATAATATATGACATAAACAATTTATGGAGTAATGTTCTTATCTAAACAATTGTCATTTCTGTGTTTTTACTTACCACCTTTATTAGTTGGCTTTTTTTCTGTTTTTGTGTTGATATATATCTTGCCTTACTTGATATTTTGAATTTGCGTGAACGGGTTGCTGGTTTGTGTTGTCTGTATCGTGCCTAGTTCATTTATCATGTTCTGAAGCATGCCTTATTCTTGTAAATGATCTGTGTTCTATACCTGAGATGCTGGTTTTCGTTATCTGTATCAAGCTTTATTGATGATAAACTATGATGTTTTGTGTTTGTGTTGCGGCTTTGTGATGTCTTGATCTTGCTTATTTATTGCACTGAGTCATCTTTCCCGATGCTAGTTTGTGTTATGGGTCTTACTTTCGTCTTTAGAATAGGTATACTCCGATTTTCTTAAAATGTGTCGCTCGCTTGTTTTGCCTGGATCTTGTACGTTTTTTCTGTGTAGAATCCTAATTTTTCTTTTAAAATATTTGGATCTTACTTTACTAATATATAGCATGTGTCGTAGCATTTGGTTTTTGGATCTCAACTTGCTCCGGGATAATATTTTCTGACTTTTGTACAATATATCCTTGTTGCTGCTATCGTATGATTTCTCCTCAGGACTTAGTCATCCCTTCCTCAATAATGCGCCATTTTGAGCGATTTGAATTCCTTAGCTCAATTTTAAGAACCAAGGCAGAAGCTGGTCGTATGTTAATTAGGAATAGCACTAAAAACGAACAAAGATCACATGTGACCACACATGGACACATCATTCCGACTAGGAGAAAATCACATCTTCTTCGGCATTCTTGCTATCAATGACCTTTTCACTTGAAGCAAACAAGATACCTCGAGACCTCATGTTGTATTTCATAATTAAAGTACAGGTTTAATGATGGGATAGCAAAGGCATATATAGACTCCAACGTATGTGTGTGTACTATACATAGTAGTATGTATTTCTTTAGTTTTTTGGAAGATGTTGTGACGTCTTATATTTTTTAAACTTTTTTTAATGTTTGCTTTTTGCGTTTTTGCTACTCGAAGCCATTCGCTTTATTAAATATTCCCTAATATTTATTGACAGTTTCATACGATATTCCCGCCATCTTTAAATTATTACGTAACAAACATCAGTTCTCATTGGTTGCCTAATGATGTGGGAAAGATTCTATTGGCTGGAATGAGATATAGAATTGGGAACATGTCCTGGAGAGGAGAAGATATTAAATACGGACAAAATTACAGTATGAGTACCCGACCAATGATTAATTTTGCCTTTACTGGTTTACCTTGCTATATAATGTCGAGTCAATTCGTGTTGATAAATTAGAAGAGGGGCAAAGATAAACAAGTTTCTGAGTGCTCATCTGATTATGTATTAGATACACCATAAGGGCATAATCCCGAATGGGTGTATCTAATTGATATTAAGACATTATTGTCAATGCAGAATGATAGTTTTCAATAATTTAGGAGGGGTGTCTTTCAGCGATTTGACCATATGTTATTGAAAAGCATGATAAATGCAGTGTATCTAATTTCATTTAACGACATCTTGGTGTAAATATGCATATACACCAACACTTAAAATACACATAACTGCCAGTGATCTTCAAGAAAATTGTCAGAATACGTGTATTCCATGTTATAAAACAAAACAAAAATTGATATAAAAACACAGCTACGTCAAGACCATATGATACACTCGAATTGTGCATTAGAATTATCGTGAGAAGATCTGAAATAGTTATGCATCTAATAACAACTTAGTAACATTGCTGTGTAAGAAAACATGCATTAGGATATCCATATGCAAATAGATATTGCGACAAAATTGACTGTTGAAAGTCCCATAACTTTATGGAACGACGAACTATAAAATGTTTAAATCCAAAGTGAGGTTAGATTCGCCAATATTAACAACAGCGTAAAGTAAATAGTTAATCCAAACATGAGGGTGTGGATGGGGGTTTACAGAATAGAAAATAATAGGCAAAAAATATAAAAAATAGAAAAAAATGGATAAAAAAAATAATGAATAGAGAATAATGCGGTGCAAAAAAGAAAAGAGACTGATGGGCAAAAAGTATAAAGAATAGAGAAAAATGGCATAAAAAGTTAAAGAATACAGAAATGAAGGACCTCCCCCGCCCCCCCCCCCCCCCCCCCCCCCCCCATCAGACCCTCAAACATTTTAGATCTAGAGTATGCCATGTAGAATATTACCATAAGTCCGATAACTGTGGAATGACAAATAATAAATTTTCAAAAATCAAACTGTATCTTATGTACTGTATGACGACACATAAGAATTTTAAAATCAAAAGAAAGTTTTCGTCTTTCAATCCTAATGTTCCGTTTTAGTTTCGTGTGAATTGGTAAAAGCAAATTTAAGTTATGTAGGAAGTATTCATGAACGAACTACAGTATACCACAATGCACCCATCTAAGACGGGCTGATAAGACCACACTTGTGAGTATATGGAGGTATGGATGGGGTTTACAGAATAGCGAACAATGAGCAAAACGCGCAGAATAAAAGACCAGAAAAATAAAGAATTAGAGAAAAATAGGCAAAAAAATTAAAGCATAGAGAATTATGGAGGGTTAAAATATAAAGAATGGAGATTAATGGACAAAATTTATAAAGAATAGAGAAAAATGGCCTAAAAAAATAAAGAAAACAAAAATGAAGGACCCCCATCCAGACCCTCGAATATGCACATAGGGGATAAATAAACTTTTCTCGTACTTAAACAACCACATAAACCACACCTTACTTTATTATGATACAGCGAAGCACTCCAAAGCTTTTTAGAAAGCTGAAACTTGTAAAGACTTAGGTTAAACTGTTTTTGATATGCATAACTCAAGATTTATAAATCCAAAGGCACTGTTATTGCGAGGTAGAATGATTATTTTCACACCGGTGATGATGTCTATGACGATGTTGTAGTTTCCAGATGTTCAGTGCTATATTAGGTTGGTTTTATTAGAGGTGTATCAATTTATATCTGATATGTATCATTGGTAATTTTTATATTTTAAATGACGGATATCAATTTGCTTATCAATAGCTTGAAACTAGACTAAAATGTTGCAGATCGTTGATAATATCATTATTTTTTCACAATCATTTTGATCAGAGGCGATTTAGGACTTAAAATTTTGTAAAAAAAAAATACCCACTGTTCGTCATAAACAAATTCTATTTTCTTATATCAGTATAAAAAGAAATACATGCACAAAAATTTGTTTGGGGTTCTTAATGCTTCATCTGACTGGACCTATAGGAAAGAGCTTTTGTTCGTAAGGATCAGCATTATATCATAGGATTCATCAGATTTGCCTTATGAGAAAATTGATAAGCATCTGAACTTAACAACTTTAAGTTGAATGATCTCTGCGGTCGACAAGTAGTTTTATCTTGTATATAGATAAGATTAAATAATTTTCTACTTTAATATGAATGATACCATGATTTTGTTTTTAATTAGTCATTGGCTCTATATTTGATGTCATCAACTTCAAATTCTTTAATTTTCCATTAATAATTTGATAAATTATTGGAAATATATAGGTTTCAACTACAAAAACATATCTTAGATAGTTTTGGCTATTTTCTTTAGATCCCTTTCGGGGATATAGCTCCTAAAATATTTATATATCTTTGCCTTTCAAATGTTTGATTTGAGCCTTCCTGATAAAGGTAAATCCAGAAAAGTGCTTCACACGCACCAAATTGTTGTTTTAATACTTATTTGTCAAACATTTTTTAAATCTTAACATTTTCATGTACTTCGATTTATTTTCATGTCATTTTCTTCGTTTTGCAAAAAAAAATCATTGAATAGTCCATACAGGCCGATATTGAAATACAACCGCTGATTAAGTGTATTCAGTCTTGTGTAAGACAAGATAAGTTCACTCTTTGATAGTTAGAGGTCATTGTTATTATGTAAGATTATGGTAACTGTCATCCAATAAAAATCTACTATTGGTTATTCTCAAATTAAAATGGTAAAAGTTGCAGCATAAGAGATTTTAAAACTTCTTTTATCATTTTGACTCCTCAAAATAATGTCTGTGCATATTAGAAACATTTTAGCTTGTACTTTTTTTTTTACTATTGCAACACCGCTTTTCACAAATGGAATAATCTCGGGACAGAAGATAGACCCAGATGCATATAAAAACGTGGTAAGTGCTTCGCATTTTAGAAAAAACCAGTGAGATATAGAAAATGCTAAGTACATGACATTACTTCCAAATATTAACGAAGGAGGTGAATTTCTGATATACTTTTAGGACGAATGTTTCTCAAGAAAAATGATACCATATCAATGTGCACAAGTTGTGTTACTGGAATGGCATTTATCATGTACCCTCGTGACAAAATGATAAAATCTACTGAAAACATGCACACTCTCGATCTTGTGGAGAGTGGTCTCATTGGCAATCATACCACATCTTCTTTTTCATATTATACATGCATCTCTTTCAGTTATAATTAATAAATGATAAAAAATACGGCGTCTATTAAAATGTTAAAATAATTTGTAATATTCACGTATTTTTATTTTCTTGAGTGTCATTAATATTCTTTGTATATTAGACTCTCAATTCGTTTTCTGTCTGTTCCACTTCAAGGTTCTCATTTGATGATGTCTTATTTTAGTCACAGTTGATAAACAGCAAAGGATATCCTTTCGAAGAACATTTAGTCGAGACAGCAGATGGATACATACTTGGTTTACACAGGATACCTCCAATACATAAACAAGGTATATCGTTGCAGCTCGGGTAGATTCCTAAGCATGCATGTCATACATATATGTTCATATCTCTCTCTCTCTCTCTTTCTCTTATTTGTATGCATACTAGTATTTTACAATTTAGTTTAAATTAATATTAGAAAAAAAGCATGTAAGGGCTAAAGTAACGTATATCTATAATTTATAATAACAGCCGGCATCGATTTTCGTTATTTCAGGTACTGGTATACCATACCGACTTCGTACGGTATATACTTGTCTGCTCTTGTTTGTGATTTTACACACAAAACAAATTAATTCATAGACTGTATATGATAACATTGGAATTCGATCGTTGAAGGAAGTAACCAGAGTAGACCTGTAGTTTTACTCCAACATGGATTGTTGTCATGTTCATCATGCTGGGTAGAAAATCTAGCCAACCAGAGTCTCGGTTTCATCTTGGCTGACAGAGGGATGGATGTCTGGATGGGAAACAGTAGAGGAAACACATACTCAAAACGACATAAAACATTAAAACCTACAGATGAAAAATTCTGGGATTTTACGTAAGTTTAGGAAAAAATCAACACACAAATGTATTTGACAAAGATTAGTTTTGAGACTAATTGGACCTATCAGCCCTGGTTGATTCTTTTTTTAAAAGTTCAAACAGTGCACGGTGAAAATTCCATTAAAATGTCCTTATAGAACATATTCAAATGATTCTTTTCCTCACTATTAATCCTGTTGTTTTTAAAATGATGTCTTACAGTTTAATATTGTTCGAGAGCCCATTTTATGGAAATAAAACGTCTTCTTCTTCTATACAGTCTAGATTTTCATCGGACAATGCATGGTTTTCTTTTTCTTTATGAAATTTTAAACTAAAATTTTGATAACAAATTCCACTAATGTTCCGATAAGGGTTACAAAATCAAGAATTTGAAGAAAAAAATATTCTAACTTCATTTATGTTTTCATTTTCATACAAATTATATGATTGAAATTTTGTAGATGGGACGAAATGGCAAAATACGACCTTCCTTCCACAGTAGACTACATAGTGAAAACAACCAATGTCAGTCAGATATATTATGCCGGTCATTCCCAAGGGACGGAGATTATATTTGCTGAATTAGGACGAAATCAAACACTGGCTGTTAAAATAAAACATTTCTTTGCTCTTGCACCGGTAGCTACAATGGGAAATGCTACTGGGCCCTTCAAGGCAGTGGCTCCATATGCTCAAGATATAGATGCAAGTTTCTTGTAAACAATCATCATGAATTGCAAACCCTGGAGAAAAGATTGACAATTAAACATTTTTGTATACTTAAATCACAATTGACAAGCAACATCACATAACTCAAAAAAATCACCTAAGTCAGCTCAGACATGAACATGATTTCAAGAAAAACAAACATAAAACAGTTACTCTTGAGACCATGTATACTATCTGTATAAATGACTGCTTGCTTCTGTATTCAATACAATTATACGGAGACTTTCTATAATAATTTTGCAATGTACATTCTCATTTTGACGACTGACTTTTAGCAAAGTATTAATTTCTACTAAGGAATTGTTTATTATGAATAAAAAGAAGATTCATGGTATTCGCCAGTGACTCAGGAATCGATCGACAGATATAAAAAACATTGAAAGGAAAATTTCTCAATGACTCAGGAATTGTTCGAGAGATATAACAAACATTAAAAGGAACATTTCTCAATGACACAGGAATTGATCGACAGATATAACAAACATTAAAAGGAACATTTCTCAATGACACAGGAATTGATCGACAGATATAACAAACATTAAAAGGAACAGTTCTCAATGACACAGGAATTGATCGACAGATATAACAAACATTAAAAGGAACATTTCTCAATGACTCAGGAATTGATCGTCAGATATAACAAACATTAAGAGGAACATTTTTCAATGACACAGGAGTTGATCGAAAGATATAACAAACATTAAAAGGAACATTTTTCATTTTTTCTTAATCCTTGAAATACTGTTTTAAAGTTTATACAGAGCTTATGATATATGTTTATTATGCACCAACTTTGTGAATAAAACTTTTATCTTTTATACACTTTTGTAGACACTTTTCCAGCTGCTAGGCAAAGGTGAATTTCTGCCATCCTCCGACTTTATTAGCTCGAATGCGCGTGAGTTCTGTGGAAATGATTATGGCAGTATTGTTTGTGAAAACTTAATTTTCTTACTTGCTGGGTATGACTCAAAAGAAATTAATCGGGTAAGCCAGATATACGGCATTTTTGTATTTCTCCCTATTTTTAGTATGAATAAAGGAGATGTTTATTTTTTTCATTGAAATAACACAAGTTTTATAACAAAATGATGTATCTTAATTGATTCTTGACTTATAATTATTATCGTTTTTTATATAGATTAGACCGTTGGTTTTCCTGTTTGAATGGTTTTACACTAGTCATTTTTGGGGCCCTTTATAGCTTGCTGTTTGGTGTGAGCCAAGGCTCCGTGTTGAAGGCCATACTTTGACCTATAATGGTTTACTTTTACAAATTGTGACTTGGATAGAGAGTTGTCTCATTTGCACTCATACCACATCTTCTTATATCTAACTAATCTTTTTGCTTGGATAGGGTCACTTTGGAAGTGATTTAAAAAGAGGCAATAGATTCTAAAGGGATATTTAAACTCACAAGTCGAAAACAAACTGACCATGCCATGGCAAAAACAATGCACGACAAAAAATATTGGCTGTATTAATTGCCGGCCAATTATGTAAGATCAAGTATTGAGATCCGGCAATTGATCTATATTTTCCGTTATCAAATTTTATACTTATCACCTCTTTCAGTGCCTTTTCACTTTTATACTATGTCCTACTTGCAAATTTCTCTCCAAGGCTATTTTACATCATTTTCAACACATCTTCAAAGTTGGTCGCCTTTGTGAATATTTTGTCCAACAATGCAACTAAGTGTCTTTTTCCTTCCTTCACCAACCATCTTTTCAATCGTACAATGTAAAATCACATTTACTTTTGCGCACCCGTACACTTTGCAAGCATATGATGGAAAAAAGGGGGGGTTACTTGTTATATATTACAAAGGCCAAATTAACTATTGCCGGCTTGTCAAACTAAGAGATTCCCCACGTTGGCAATGGTACGAGAGGTATAGGTAGACATTGCCTCTAAAATGGCCCTTAGCGCTTATGCCCTAGACCTGTACGAGTGTGTTAGCATCGCATTGGGGGGGACTTGGTATGTCAAGTAGTCCGACTAAACTTTTGCCGGATGGCCAAACTAAAAGATTATCCATGCCATACAATACTTTATTCTCTAAAATCAATACTACCAAAGGTAGAAGATGACACTGCCTCTAAGATGGTCTATAACACTTATGCTCTATACCTATAAAAGTTTGTCAGTATAGGGTTTAGGGTATCTTGTATGTCACATAATCTGACTTTACTATTGCAGGATGGCCAAACTAAAAGATTATCAATGTTGGCTATGAAACAAAAGGTAGAGGAAGCCAAAAAATGGCATTTATAATGTATGCCCTTGACCCAAACGAGCTTGTCAGCATTGGGTGAACAGGGGGCGGAGGGGTACCTAGTATGTCACATAGTGTGACTAAACTATTGCCAAAACTAAGAGATTCTCCACGTAAGCCATGGTATTAGAGGTACACATTGCCTCTAAAATGGCTACGAGTTTGTCAGAACCAGGTAAGGGGGTGGAGGGATGGGGACACTTGTTATGTCACAAAGTCCGACTTAACTATTGCCGAATTGCCAAATTGAAAGATTCTCCACGTTAGCCATGGTCCCATGCAATACTTTATTCTCTTTAATCCAGTACTACCAAAGGAAAGGGAGACATTGCCTTTAAGATGGTCTATAGTACTTATGTCATACACCCGTATGAGTTTGTCAGCATAGGGTTTGGGATCATGGAATGTCACATAGTCCGACATAACTATTGCTGGCTGGCCATACTAAGAGATTCTCCACGTTGGCCATGATACAAGAGGTAGACGATATTGCCCCTAAATAGGCCTTAGTACTTATGCCCTTGACCCATACGAGCTTGTCACTATTGGATGAAGGGTAGAGGTACCTGGTTTGTCATATAGTCTGACTTAACGAGTGCCGCCTGGCCAAACTAAGAGATTCTCCACGTTGACCATGGTACCAGAGGTAGAGATAGAGATTACCTCTAAAATGGCCTAGACCTATACCTATACGATTTTTTCAGCTTAGGGCGAGGAAGTATATTGTGAAAAAAGTGTGTGTGGGGGGATGGGGGGTGTACCTGTTTTATATCACATAGTCCAATTTAACTATTACCGGCTAGCCAAACTAAGAGATTATTTACGTTAACCATGATACCAGGGGTAGAAGTATACTTGCCTCTGAAATGGCTCACAGCACTGATGCTCTAGACCCGTACGAGTTTTAAGCATAAGGTTGGGGGTACCTGGTATGTCACATAGTCCGACTATTGCAGGCTGGCCAAACTACGAGATTCTCCACGTTGGCTTTGGTTCCAGATGTAGAGGTAGATATTGCCTCTGAAATGGATCATTTCACTTATGACCTAGACTCGTACAAGTTAGTCAGCATTGGATAAAAAGGGGGCATGTGGTATGCCACATAGCCCAAATTTAACTATAACTGGCTGGCCAAACTAAAAGATTTTCACGTTGACAATGATACGAGAGGTAGAGGTATGCATTGCCTCTAAAACGACCTATAAAACTTATGGCCTAGGCCCGTACAAGTTTTCACAATAGGGTTAGGGGGGCCTAGTTTGTCTCATTGTCCAACTATTGCTGGCTGATCAAACTAAGAGATTCACCACGTTGGCCATAATATCTGCAGTAGAAGACATTGCCTCTAAAATACCAATAGAATTTATGACTAGACCCGTACGAATTTGTCAGCAGGTTTGGGGAAGAGGAGTCTAAACTGTTACATATGGTCGAAAACGATTGTATATAATATGAGTACTGTATAATTCTGAAAGTGATTTAAAACCAGTAAAAAATGACACGTCGGCATGTAAGAGAATTTAATAAGAACCATTTTGTAATTTTATATGGAATGTGTCTTTACTTAGAAGCAGCTGTAGATCGTATTTCTGGTTCAGTTTAATTTTTAGATATAAAAGCTATTCATTGATGTTTCAAGTGGCATTTTTTATAATTTACCGAAAAATATTTGTAATTATTGGTTTACGTAATCGTTCCCTTTTTATGAATGATTACGTAAATGCAGACCTCGAAGAAGACACCCGTTGAGTTATGAATTTATTTTTATTTATAGCAATATCAAATATAATCAGCAAACATCCTTTTATCTTTATAATCAATATTTTCTTACAACACTTCATCGAGCCCAGGTAATCTCATGAATATTACCGCAGACTCAAAAATATTAATGCAAGTTGGCCTCATGAATAGTAAGCGGCCGATTGTAATCGCCGGTTAGCTTCAAAATAGTCATTCATGTTTACCGGTTTCTATGCAAGCCCATTTTTGGAGGCCGGTAAAGCCGCGCGAAAATTTACCTTCGATTTCGTACACAATAATTTCTTATTTTGGGTAGATTATTCATTTCATCCTGTTTTCGACAAGATAGGTTATGTTCAGTTCTAACTTCGTCTACGCAAGCTTATTCATTCCATTACTTATTATCAGTTCTAACTAGCTAAAATTCCCCAACCGAATTCGAAATTGATAGAAGTCCCTTCCTTTTTTCTGATAATATTTGTCAGTGTGATAGCAATGAAAGCATAATGGGATATATTTTTCCATTTTTCTCTAAGATTAATTTATATTTCTCTTTGAAGACTAGTTTTTTGTTATTTTTTTTTTTTTGCTCATTAGAAAGATTTTTTCTATCTCTTAAATGATTATTATATTTTTTTTCATTCCAATGAATGACGATAGAGATTCCTGAACTTAAAAATGAGTTTTTCGAAGTTCATAAATATTCATAATAAATATCATGAAATTGGCATAAAATGAAACTGAAAATAGCTTGATTATATATAATTACTGCAACTGTTTGTTACATGATCATTAATAGTCAAAAAATAAATGCTTGACACCTTATGATACAAGAAATTGTTGTTTTACGCATCAAAGAAGACTTAATATTTCAATTATTCTAAAGTAGTTAGTTTTAAAGGGAGGTAAATCATATTTTTTAAAGATTTTCTAACAAAAATTTTATTCCACATTTCCATGCTTTTTAGGGTTAAATTGTTAAAGAAAAATGCTGCTTAACATTGTGTTTTAAAAAAGAAATTCCTTATTCCTCCACTCCTTCAGTGTTC